GGGGGGTTATGCGTTACTCAGACGGATTAATTACCGCCAAGCGAAAAGTACCCTAATAAACTGAGGCTTCTGCAATGCATCCTAGTAACCCACCCTATCAAGTTGCCTCCTCAACATCGGATAATTCGGTTTCGAATCGAATTCGAGACTTCGAATGTGATCGTACATCATGTACATCTCTTGCGGGCATTTTGCCAACAACTTCGATCCGATTTTCTCTTTCTTTCTTTCGATTACTTTATCCTCGTCGTTGCGCCATATGAGTTTGCCCTTAAGCATTGTTATTTGACCATAAGTAATTCACGTCTGCTCTGCTCACCTCCTGACGAAACGTAATTGATCTACTGTTCAAATTAAGGGCTATGTTCAGCATTTGTACAAATATATGTTTGCCTGCCTTTAAAAACATAAGCCGAACTAGTTTTCATTAGCAAAGTACTTTACTTGGTAAGAGCTGTTGGATAAACATAATGGGGAATATAATCATGCTCTGTGATGAAGGACGCTCCAGAAGCTACGAAATAAGCTTCACCAACTCACAGGTACCGGCACGACCCATGTAATCTATGAAATCACTTGTTGAGAGATCAGTTTTCGGGTTCTATCCCTCATTTTTTTCATTACCAGGCGAGTATAACGCCAGGTCAATTCGAGATTTATTCCCAGGTCATTTCTAGGACTGCGCGATGTCTGATCGCACCACATTACCCGATACGATGCTGGAACAATTTCAGTTGAACGCTCGTTTGGTACGAATTTTTCAGTTGCTAATTTTTATTCTATTATTCATAACATTCAGATTATTTTCCCTGTAGCAATCAAAAAAAAATCGTAAACATTGCTATGTAAATATAAAGATCGGAGCGAGCAGATTGACAAAGGGTGAGCACTCACTGCCATGAATTCAACAGTCATGTAAAGCCATGCCCAGAGATCATCCCTTCGTCCTTGATCCAACTTTTTGTGCATGTTAGGTGAGCAGTACCGGCTGGTTCCAAGGAAAGCCACCTTTTTCCTTGGGGCTCGATGTTTCATCTCGTCCTGTTCGTTGAACGTCAACTGCAAATGATCCAATACTCTATGACTGATTCGCTACTGACAGTCGCTTGTGGCGACAGCGGATTTTATATCCGCTTGAGCGGTGGAACCTTGGCCTCTGAAGACGACGAGGACGTCGAAACGTTAGGCCGTTAATTAATAAACTGTTCCACCTAACAACCTCGCACGGCACAAGAATATTATAATCATATACTGAAGATAGTTATTCAGATGGGCGGGCGGGGCTGTGGCTGGCGATGTTGCTGTCGAAACCAAGAATACTAAACATTTTCCTCCTTTTTGGTAGATTAGTAGACACTGGGACGTTGTACTGGCCTGGTTAACATTCCCCTGAGATCACGGGCATGATTTTTCGGGAAGATCAAGCTCTCTAACCCGCTCCGTTTCATACCAATTCTCATATTACCCTATTTTCAAGCTTTTTGAAATTATTGAGCAAGGAAAATCGCATCAAATGGCCCTAGTGAAAATTACGGAGCAAAGTGAGCAGGAACAGGAAGGGGAGGCTTTAGCAAAGCTAACCAGGGAGGGGTAGTCTAATTATCTTGGAACTTTGAATTCAGACCCAGATAAATAGATAGAATTTCGAATGCTGTTTACGAGAATGCAAATTAAAACTGCAAAATGATTCTCCTTAAAAAGTTATGGGGGCCCGAATTTTGCTCGACAGTAGTATCAAATGGAAATGCGAACTCGTCGCTTCCATATCAAACGCCCACGAGACCTAGTGGTAGTGGTCTCGCTTCGTGGGCGTAAAATGAGGGGTCCCTCCCCGCCATTTTCCGCACTTTTACAAAG